AGTATTAAACATATATGTGCAACAATCACATAGTCGCTTTGGTGAATGTCCGAAATATTTGTTATATCCAATTTTATATTAATTTATTCGTTAATATTATTATACTTATTTGATATATTTATTCTATATTTTAATACTTACTGACGATAGATTAGAAGAAGCATCAGTGTTTGGAGTATCGGGCACTTGACCTTAAAAAAACATCAGTGTAGGATATACAGGGAAAATATATACCGGGCAGGGGCACTTAACCTTAAAAAACATCAGTGTAGGGTATACCGGGCAGTGGCACTTAACCTTAAAAAAGCATCAGTGTAGGGTAAAAATATCGAATAAATATAATTATATCCACGAATAAATTCATATCAAATCGAATGTAATAAATATTTCGGACATTCACTCAAGCATATCTGTGATTGTCGACATACACCGGTGAGGGTCCGAATGTACAAGAATATAATGGAATATTCGATCTTTCACCGACGTATTTCGTGTTTGTCGACATTCACCGGTGAAAGTCAACAACCACCGATTTCGGTCTTTCGCCGTGACATATATATATACTATATAATATAATTCACTTAATCGTTCGTGGGCTTGTTGCTGGCAAATTAATTCATCATGACTTAAACTCCTAAAGGAGTTTAATAGCATTTATAAAGAGAGGAAATTGATAGACGCTCAATACGATCAAATTCATAATAAATGCTATGAATAATTGTTTTGATGAAAATTATTTATATTTTTAATTCTCATTAAAAAATTTAACAAATTTATGATTGCATTGCTTTTTTTTTAATGTGTCTCTTATAGCATTTTTAATTATAACAATTTTAAAACAACAATCGTAAACTAATAAAACTCAAAGGGTTTTAGTTTAGATAAGTAAGAAGGGTACGCCATATGCTTAAATATTTAAAAAATACTAAAATAAGCATTTATACATAAGTTACTATCGAAACAGACGCGACAAACTAGTAACAATAATTGAATAAGCAAATAAGCTTCCTTCGCTGTTAATTAGCGCAAGTTTTGAAAATCGAAACTAAACAATACCGAAACTTAAGTATATAATTGCGCGTAATCTAAATGATCTCTGGTTTCAAAACTTCAATAAACAAACAAATATACACAAACAAGCATTATATAGACGCTTTTAGGCAATGTACAAAATAATCAACTAGTTTTTAGAAATAAAAAATATATAATTTAAATTAAACTGCTTTTTAATGATTAACACTGATTGCACGCAAAGCTTACGAACGGCGGAGGGATGTCAGAAAATAATAACCGATAAAGTTGCGAGTTCTGCTTTTTGTGCGTGAAACAGGCCGGTCTGTCAATGGCCTGTTGCTTTTCAAGATCCCACTCCCCGGGAAAAGTGAGAAGTCCCCCTGTATTAGTCCCTGGTTATTCCCCTAGGCCTAGAACCATGAACTAGTAAAGAGATGCCGAGGGATGAAAGCCAAAGTCTTAAGGAATTAGTTCTGAGTAACGTCTAACTTCCCTTTCTTCTCAAACTTTTTCTTTAGATTCTATACGTTATCTCCCCTTGGTGGAGGTTTTCATTACATTTTCAGGAAGTTTAGGACCCATTGAACCCTCTCTCCTCTTTAAAAATTGAAACAAATTTCTGTTCTCAAAGAATAATGGACGGTGTTTTCAATATAAATGTAAACAATAACAATCCCGAGCTCTATACCTGCTCTAGTCCCGGTTAGAAAGTTTGCAACTGCTTACTACAGCTTATTCTGCGAGGAGATATTTTCAAACGGATAATTTTGTTTTCAATAATAGAAGTAAATTCGATAATTTCTGAGCTCAAATCTGCCATATTTCATAAGATATTAATGTTATTATGTAATTCTGGTGAGTTTGAAGGGAAAATTTGTTTTAGTTATTTATAGATATAATGTTAAAAAAGGTGGTATGGTTGCTAGATTTTGAATAACTCGTTTTTTTGGCAGTCCTGATGTGCAGGGGCCCCCATCAGGGGGGAAAGTGGGTGCACGATGCGCCCTCTTAAAGCTTGGGGGGGATTTTTACACTAAATAAAACGAATAGTTTTGGGGGGAATTTAGACGAGAGAACTTTTTTAATACATAAATAAAGGAAGCAACGTAGCACTATTTCGAACAAGCTAGCATGGAAGGGGGAAGTAAGCAAATTTTTTTTGGGGGGGAGGGGGATGAATGCGCCCAAGAGCTTGGGGGGGGATGGAGGCCACTGCTGATGTGGCATCTTTCCATTTGTTTATTACTGTTTGTTCTTGTTGCAAGCTGTTCACCATCTTACGTTAGTATTAGCAGTGTAAACACAAGTATTGTTATCATTGTAAATACAAGTAATAAGTAATCAAATACCACGTTTGCAAGAATCTCAAAGCACAATGATCACGTTGTGAGCCAAATGGCTTTAACATACACCGGAGACAGTAACCCGGAAGTATAGGCGGTATGGAGCCAGCAGCGTGCCCTAGTGTAGAAAACAGCATCCATAGTTCCCTTAGTTTTAAGTACAATCTCCCACATTTCTTGAAGTTACATCATGACCCCATCTAGCTATGTAAACTCCATTTCCCAGTTGGTCATCCTTATTTATTTGTTTCACATGTGATTTTTTTTTTAATGTTTTTAACTTAAAAGTAACTTTTTAAAACTTATATTGAAACCATGTTTAAACGAAGTGAACATATTTTTCTTATAACTACCAGTTTAAATTTGAAACGAAATCACAATTGTTTCATTACAAATGTAAACATAGACTGAATTGGGAACTTCTGGATTACGCTGTATGGGTGATCGTGTAAAGCTAAGGGTGGTGGCGCTAGTGATAAAATTGCTCTTTCAAGACTTCCGGGTTACTGCTTCCGATATATTTTTACGCCGCAGATTGAAAAAACGCGCCACCATATTATTGCATCATATCTTTTGCAGTATTTCACATGTACCGAGTTCTTTCTTTCAGCCTTTAAACTTCAGCATTAACATATTAATATTATAATCATTAGAATATTTTCTAATTAATCTAACTTAAAAAGAAATTTTTAAAGATATTTTTGGCGACATTTTATTCAAATGTAGCCAAATAAGGGATAAAATACAAAACATGGCAAACCTTAATAATTATTCACAATGAGATATTAACTTTCCAAAATGTTTTTTGGCCTTACGACCTCTGAGAATCAATACATTTCTGAAAGCTCTTATGAATGGTACAATTATGTTTAGATTTGAGCCCAAATTACAATAACAAAACTGCATAGAATATTTGGCTTGTTCACACATCGTATCGTAGTCATAACCTAAGCGGAGGGATACACCGGAAATTTTCTAAATTTCTTCCGGTTTAAGGACGCTTGTTATTGTTTACATTAGACCACCCATCCATAGAACCATGACTGAGGTTTAAAAGGTAAGGTAAGAAATATACGTAAACGAAAGTTTGGTTATTTTAAGCAATACACTCTGTATTTAAACATGTTCCAACTTTATCTTAGCAACAAAATAATCAGAAATCACAACACAGGAGTAATTAAATGAATTACATATCGAAAACTAAGCACAATAGCGCTCAAGAAATCCAGACTTATCTTTTGTTCTTAAAAAGTTACGCGTTGGTTTAATTCTTTTCATTTCCTCTCGAAGGTACGCTCTTTGACTACCCCTTTGTGCCCCGCGTTCCCTAAAGCGGCCTTAATTTATTAATGTCCTATCTGTACTTTTTGTTGAAAAGTTGTGTCGTAGGTATAAGCCTTCTGTTTTTATTGTTCCACCGTATCAATTTACTTATTGGCAAAACTGACGATAAAAAATTGAAAAATCAACTGTAAATTTTTGAAAGACTTAAAAGTATTTTATCCAAAAATACTTTTATCCAAAATTTAACTTGATTTGAAATAAATAGTTAATGTCATTATTGGATCTAACATATTTTTTCCATCTTGAACTGGGATTTCAAATTCAATTGATTCACGATAAGACAAATTAGTTTTCAAACACTTTCGGAAGAAAGGAGAACACTGCGTCATCATAGAACCCCGCAGTCGTTTGTTTTAGGCAACCTTTGACCATGAGACGTGAGTGTGTAACGTCAGATAATCATCTTCCACCCTTCTCCTTTGCTCACATCGCCATCAAGCGGATGAACTTGAAACTAGATAATTTCAATAAAAAAGTTTATAGATTGGGATTATCAAGTGTAGAAAGTGTAATTTATTTCAGTTCAGTCGTAGTTGCCGTCGTAATCATATGTGTTTTACATAGTTGTGTTGTTCTTGCGTTTTATTCATGAAGTTTTAAATTTTCTTAATGCCTTTTGTGTTGAAACTATGCCTTAAATTTTAACGAATAATTGTGGTATTGAAAACTCACCGTGTGTTATAGAGCTACTGCTTTTAGAAGTAAGTGAATCATGAAAAATTTATTGCTATTTATTGTCTTGTTGGTAAAAAAAAACATATATTGTTTCTACTTAATAAAGTATTAGCATGTCAACATCGGGTTCATTCGACTCACTTATTTAAAAGCATTGGGCAATGTAAATGTATAATTTATACAAAATTAATTTTGTTTTGTAAACAATATTTCAGGATGGTAACGTAATCAACATTTTGTAAAAATGCTGTAAATATATTATCTACACTTTTAAAGTTAATTGAGTAATTTAACTCTTTAACTAATTGATATTAAAATTGTTTTACTAAATTGACTAGATTCAAAAAGTGAATCGCCTCATTGTTAAAAATACTGCTACGCAAGAATTATAAGTTTGCCTTCTAAAGGATGCTATTTCATCTAGATTAATGAGGAATTTTTAATCAATCTCTTAATTTTAAAACAATACTGTTTTTTCCTGGTTAACGTAGTATTTTTAAAAAAATATTTGAAAGTATTATAAATAAAACTGTCTTGAGATGAAATTTCATTATTTTATCTATAGTTAAATTTTTCTAAATTATTCATTAAATATATTAACAAAATTGTTTATATTGAAGCAGTAAATTGTAATTGATGAGGATATTGCTACGCAAGAATTTTTATGTTTAATCCTCTAAGAAAATGAAACGTCTAAGCTGTAAAATCTCACAAAAATTCACTTTAGTTCTTCGAAGAGCATGACATGAGAATTATTTCCACATCTTGATCAGTCACGCTAATTACAATCATCAAAGTGCCAATTGAATTTTGGTTAAGCAGTGGCTTATTTTAATGGAAATTTTTAAGAAAGCATGCAACATATAAATAAAGCTATATCAAAGCTGCTATCTTTTGTAATAAGAAGTCTGCTACTTGCTGATGGTTGAAAAAATACATCAGTGTTATGCATGCATGATTATAAATCAGTGTAATGCATGTATGATTATAAATCTGTAATGCATGCATGATTATAATTCAGTGTTATGCATGCATGATTATAATTCAGTGTTATGCATGATTATAAATCAGTGATATGCATGATTATAAATCAGTGATATGCATGATTATAAATCAGTGATATGCATACATGATTATAAATTAGTGATATGCATGATTTATCTAAAAGATAAATGTTTTATTCAAGATCTTTACAACAGCATCTTTAAAAAAGCTAGCATTATATAGCAAAATAGAAGTGATCATTTTTTAACCAGACAATACATTAAGTGATTAACAAAATTGATTAAACCTATATTTTACTATGAGAGCATTTAGAGCTATGGGCTATTTTCACGTGTGACAGACACTACATCAGACAATTTTTCACAAATGAAAAGATACATTAAAGAAATATTTTTACAGCTAAAAATTTTATTTTTTTATCAATATTTTTCTAAAAATGCAAATAAATNAATACATTTTTATCTTCTATTTTTTAAAGCATTGAATATTTTTGGTGCATCATCATAAAAGATTTTGCCTTTTCAAGGTATTTGTCCATCTTGCATTAGCACATAAAAAATTTGAACGTCTTCAATGAAGAAACCTTACCTACGGTAAACACGTGGTTACAAAGAAATGTGTTCTGAAAGGGGTTCCGTGGTTGTGTTCTGTTGTTCGAAAAGGTTCTGAACAATACTGGTAAATAGGGAAGCTAGATAACGGGACAGATGTTGAAAATAATGAAAGATCTAGGAAGAAAAGTTAAACGGATTTTACTATAAATGGCGTAATTCGAAGCTTTTTCCAAAATGCGAGGAATTCGCGAATTTCTCTCGGTAATCATTTTTTAATGCGGGAAAAGAAACAAATATGCGAGATTCTCGCGCTGTAGTGAAAACACTGGACTCCTCTATTGATTGCTGCTGATTAGTTTCTTAATTTATTGTGTGACATCTGAATTAGAGCATTTGGGAACTACATCAAACATGTGCTATAGTATAAAAATAGGAACTTGAAAATTGGCAATTTAATTTGCTTTCTGCTGGAACAAAAGTTTCGAAGAATACAACCAAAAAGAAATATTCAACTTTAAACTGCAAAGAATATTTATCGATGAAAGCTGTTTTACAATTATACAGAAGCTACCAAGTATTGGAAAGAAACAGGGATGAGATTTTTCCGCTTTTGTCTCTCTAATTTCAGCTTTCTATTGTGACGCTTATCGTCACTTAATTCAGAATCACAGTAAAACATTTAAAATACATTTATCGTAAATTGCAAAATAATTGATTATATTTAAAATACTGTGGAAACTTCCATTAGTACATAGAACCTTAGCAAATACAAATAATCACTCTTGATTAAAGTTAAGAAATACGTGTCGAAAAGGGTTAATCGCAAGTCTATAGTTCAAGTTTGGTCTCTTATGTGACCTTTCCAGAATTTAGTAATATTTTTATCGAACAAAAAATATATTATAAAAGATAAAAAAAAGACATCAAATGAGAGAGTAGAACCGAGTCATTAAGAGGCTCACCAGCTTTTACGAGGCCTGTCTAAAAAGTATCCGACCTTAATTTTTCCCGCTCAAAGTAGTGATTCTAAGGCGGTGCACGGTGGAAGGAGGAACCTTAATGCACATGCTTGAATGCAACCGCGTTCGCTTGTGCAAGTCGCTGGCTGGTGGTCACCAAGTAAGGTGCTGAACACCATTCCAAAAGAAGACTTCCTGATTTGTTTCCAGCAGTGGAAGGATCAGTGGGCTAAGTGTGTGCAAGCACAAGGGGCCTACTTTGAAAGGGATTAGGGTCCCAACTCCGTCAGGTATTCTAAATATTTTTTCTGGCCAATGGTCGGATACTTTTTAGACAGGCCTCGTATAATGAACATCAGTATGGATAAGTTCTCTCCATGCCAATTAGTTTGTTATTAATCAAAGTATTTTAAATTAATTTAATTTGTTGTTTTAATTTGTTATTGATTAAAGTATTATTAATTTGAGTATTTTAAATAGTTGAAGTATGTAAATTAATTCGACAAGATATGCATAAAATAAACGATCACTGGTTAAAATGATAAGTAGTAGTTTGTGTCTTTAAACCACCGTAACATTATCCAAAAATCAGATTCTCTAAAAGTTGCATTTTTGTTTTTTTAATAAATATTCCGCTTTTATCTGAAAATTCAGTCGTTGAAATAAAATAATTATATTTATTTGAGATTTCCAAAGATAGACAGAAAATTCAAACTACGTCACGTTGTTGTTGTTTCTTATTGAGGCTCTTAACAAGTTTCCAAAGTTTAGTGTCAGATGATTTCGAGTCTAGCTTGGAGCAAAGTTCCAACCATTTCAATCTTTTGTTTTCAGCGTAAGATCTTCTGATGTCTGCATTGACCCTGTTTAGCTCAATTCTAGAATGGACATTAGTAGAGTTGGTTAGCTCTGTGATCAGTTGATTCCTCTTGTCCAGGGTTGGCAGGTTTTTGACATGTGACAGTTTTTGACGGTTTAAACCGTCCCATCAAAAACCTCACTGTCAAAAATGTCACAAAACCTATATTCATATGTGAAATTTAATTAATACATCTGAAATTAATTAATACTGTGAAATTTAATTCCCATCTGAGTCGGAAAAAATGCTTTTTCCATTCTCATATGAGAACACTGAAAAACAAAGATTAATGAAGTAAAGAATTTGGTTTGCTTTTGTGCAGAAACTTTCGTTGTAACTTTTTAATGCGGTTATTACTATTGATTTCCACATAGTTTTAAAATCCGCTATATCAAAGCTGCTATCTT